CGCCCCGGGCCGGGCCGGCGGCCTGGGGCCATCGTCGAGCCCGGCCGCCCGCGGGGCTGGAGCTTGGGCCGCAGCGGTCCCACCGTCCTGAGCAAGGGCTGACAGGAAGCATCCCAGCTGGGCGGGCGGGCAGGGCCGAGCGGGAGGTGATGGCTTTTGCTCAGTATCCCAGGGAGGAGGAAGGGCTGGGATGGGGTGGGGCGCAGGTGGAGGCCTCTCCTCCCCACCCCTCTGCTAGTCTCTCCTCCCCTTTGCGGAGTGAATAGAGGCTTCCTGGCTGACCCTGGAGGAGGCCCTGGGTGGGCAGTGGGATTGCGGGCCCAGGCCTAGGGATCCCGAGTCTAGCAGCCATTCCTGCCAGACATTAAAACAAGAAGAACAGAACAGTTGGGTTGACGCAGCCAGACCTAGACTGCGCTCAGAGCAGCCCACCTCCCCTCGCTTTGCCCTGGGCAGGCTTAGATAACGGTCTGGGACCTGCGTGCTCATGCAACCTGCTGCCTCCACCCAGCGCAGCCGCTCCTTTCCCTCCTCCCTGCCCAGAAGATGCTGAGAATGACAGCTTTTAGGCTGACGTATTTCTTTGGCAGATTAGTTAGAGGCCAGGCTGGCTTGTGAAGGTATCCACTTCTGCCTCTGCTCAGGAGACAACTTACAAACTTTTAAGTATAAAAGGCAGATGAGCTGGGAACCTGAAAGTGGGTTGCATCTGATTCTAAAAGTTCCTCCCTCTCGCTGCCATTACCTTATGCTGCCACAAAGTGGTGAGTTAGAGATTTGCCTAGGTGGGTGGGCCTTACCTTTCCATTCATTACCTAGAATGTTAGCGACTTGGAGGGATGGAACCCCATCTCATCTTTCTGGAAAGGCGATGAGAAGTGCTCAGTGGTTAGCATGCTACATCCGCCATTGCTGAGCAGATTGGCAATTCTTTTACATTTTCCTGCAGACCTTGGTACTGTTAGATTCAGAGGATTTTGGATTTTTTTTTTTTTTTTTAAATCTGGGTACAACTAGAGTGGAGAAGTTCTGCTGTGTGGACATCGAGGCTCAGTGGGTCTATGGACCTCCCACCTGTCAGCCGCATCATTCATTGCTCAGGTCCCTGCAAGGCCCTCCAGTCTATGTGTGGAGGTACTTGCCAGGGTGGAAGGCCTGGGGATAGTTGAGGGGTGTGTTGGCCAGCCCTTCCCAGGAGAGGGTTTTTGAGATGGTCCTTGGCTCCATGTGCTTGTCCAAGTGACTGCAGGAGGCCATTTGCCACTGGGCTCTCAGACTGGGCGGTCCGGCCTCTGCCACTTCACAGTTGCTTTAGGCTGACACCTGTCTGCCTGCCATGATGTTTACAGCCACCTGGAGCCAGGCCTCCCAGATACAGAGCAGTGGCCTTCCTCTGAGTCCTGGCAGGCCTTAGGGAAACATCTGTATGGAGGGGGAATTACTCCAGACTCTTACTGTGAGGCACCTGCCTGAAGGATTGGCAGGAAACTGGAGAGGACTCATGGAGACTGGGATGCCCTGGCCCAGGGATGGGGAACTAAGGTGGGGGGTGGGGTGGAGACAGCTGCCATCTCCTCTGCTTGGAGGAGCTGAGTTGCCAGCAGACTTTGGTTGGGTGTGAAGGAAGCAGGTCTCCCAGCAGCAAGCCTCCCACTTCCTTGATTTATGTCCAGGTGGAGTGCAGGAAGAACAGGAGAAAGCTCAGGGAATGGCTGCTTGTTCCTACCTCATGCTCACACTTTCTCTCTTCCCTACAGAACCAATCACTGGGGAAGGCAGAGCCTCCCTGGTATGGCTGGGACCCTACCTGGAAGAGCCCCCTGTCCTGTAGACAGAGCCTTGTAGTCTTTCTTGGTTAATGACTTGGGCTGTCTGACCAGTCCCTCTTCTGTGCCTTGTCTGAGGTCCTCGTGCATCCCTGAGATCGTGCGGCTTCTCTCTCTCTGGGTTGGGTCACCGTAAGTGGGAAACTGAAGCCATTACTTACCAAAACCTGTTTCATCTTCTCAAGCATGTCGGAAAGCTGGCAGCAACCAGCACAGACGCCACCGCAGCAGCCGCAGCCGCCACAGCCTCAGCACCATGCGGAGCCACCACCAGCCCTGGCTGAACACACACTGCCTCCAGGCACAGCTGAGAACCCCCTGGGCTGCGCCGTCTATGGCATCCTCCTGCAGCCTGACCCAAGCCTGCAGCCCTCTCAACATGCAACCCTGCAGGCAGCAGGGGAGCCAGGCCCCAAGTGCGGAGTGTGTGGTCACGACCTGGCGCACCTGTCCAACCCACACGAGCACCAGTGCCTGGCGGGCCATGACCGCTCATTCCAGTGTACGCAGTGTCTGAAGATCTTCCACCAGGCTACCGACCTGCTGGAGCACCAGTGCGTGCAGGCTGAACAGAAGCCTTTCGTCTGCGGTGTCTGCAAGATGGGCTTCTCCCTGCTCACCTCGCTGGCCCAGCATCACAGCGCACACACTGGTCTAGTGAAATGCTCCATCTGTGAGAAGACCTACAAGCCAGCCGAGGCCGCGGAGCCGGGCACCACTGCTGCCCCATCGGTTCCTCAGGCACCCTGCTCTTTTCTGAACAGGCCGACAAGCCCTACAGCTGCTCCATCTGCCAGAAGCCCTTCAAGCACCTGTCCGAGCTCTCCCGGCATGAGCGGATCCACACGGGAGAGAAACCATACAAGTGCACGCTGTGCGACAAGAGCTTTAGCCAGTCTTCCCATCTGGTGCACCACAAGCGCACACACAGCTCCGAGCGGCCCTACAAGTGCGCGGTGTGTGAGAAGACCTTCAAGCACCGCTCTCACCTCGTTCGCCACATGTACGCGCACTCTGGCGAGCACCACCTATTCCGCTGCAACGTGTGCGAGCTGCATTTCAAGGAGTCGTCGGAGCTGCTGCAGCACCCGTGCACGCCAAGTGGCGAGAGGCCCTTCCGCTGTGGCGAGTGCCAGAAGGCCTTCAAGCGGCCATCAGACCTGCGGCAGCACGAGCGCACACACAGCGCCGAGCGACCCTTCAAGTGCGACCTGTGTCCCATGGGCTTCAAGCAGCAGTACGCGCTGATGCGGCACCGGCGCACGCACAAGACCGAGGAGCCCTTCAAGTGTGGCCTGTGTGAGAAAGGCTTCGGGCAGCCCAGCCACCTGCTGTACCACCAGCACGTGCATACCCTGGAGACTCTCTTCAAGTGCCCCATGTGCCAGAAGGGCTTTGACCAGTCGGCTGAACTGCTGCGGCACAAGTGCCTGCCGGGTGTGGCCGAGCGGCCCTTTAAGTGCCCCGTGTGCAACAAGGCCTACAAGCGGGCATCGGCCCTGCAGAAACACCAGCTGGCCCACTGCGCCGCAACTGAGAAGCCCCTGCGTTGCACCCTCTGTGAGCGCCGTTTCTTCTCCTCCTCCGAGTTTGTGCAGCACCGCTGCGACCCAGCCCGGGAGAAGCCACTCAAGTGCTCGGACTGCGAGAAGCGCTTCAAGTACGCGTCAGACCTGCAGCGGCACCGACGGGTGCACACTGGCGAGAAGCCCTACAAGTGCCCCAACTGCGACAAGGCCTTCAAGCAGCGTGAGCATCTCAATAAGCACCAGGGTGTGCATGCCCGCGAGCAGCAGTTCAAGTGCGTGTGGTGTGGAGAGCGCTTCCTGGACGTGGCCCTGCTGCAGGAGCACAGCGCCCAGCATAGCGCTGCGGCTGCGGCTGCAGAGGGGGCCTACCAGGTAGCAGCCTGCCTGCCCTGAATCCCCGCCGTGGCTCTTACCAGCCTGCCTGGAGTCCACGCCATGGTCGCCAGACCCAGTCCAGCCTAGCCTCCTTCTGCTGCCTTGCACCAAGCGCCCCACCCAGCTCGGAGTTCTGAGGCCTTGGGAGTGAGGACAGAAGGAGTACTGGGTAGGTAGAGGGTGTGGGTGCTCAGCCCTCCTGACACCAGCCTAGCAGGTTGCTGTGATGGTCCTGAACCTCTCTCCCATTACAGGATTTGCTTTCTTGAGAGCCGCCAGTCTCCCTTATCTCTGGGTGACTAGAACCAGGCTAGAAGTCTGGTGGCCTTGCCCTGTCCCACACATGGGGTGATGCCAGCCCACCTTTCCCCAACCTTTCAGGCTTCTTGGAAACTAGATAGGTTAGGAAAGAGGGTGGTCAAGGAGAAGAGAGGACCTGGGCCCAAGAGGCAGGCTCTCAAGCTACTGTTTGGGAAGAAGGCCAGCTTTATGCCATGGTCCTGAGGGCCAAAGAGCAGACCGTGAGACACAGTCTTCTGTTGCTCCAGCCACGATGATGAGCCCCTCTGGGTGGGACGTACAGGATGGGGGTCTTTGGGCTGGGTCTACCTGGAAAGCAGTGGGCCCAGCCAGAAGAGGGACAGCAGAGAAGTCCCTGTGACACCCTCAGCCAGGGACAGTGCCATCTGTAGGGAGAGGAGGAAAGGCAGCCTGTC